GAATGAACAAAATTGTCCTGATATTTTAAAACCAGAACTTAACAGTTTGAATGGGAGCAATGTTGAGTATGGATATCAAGAAAATATGAATTTGAAAGATTCAAAATCAAAAATTGAGGAGAACCACAGCGAAGGGTATTATGATGGTCCTGCAACAGTGGTAGTTAAATTATTGACCAGTTTAAGACATTTACCACCGGCCATGCATTCAGTGCTTCTTGTGATGGCTCTTAGCTGGGTACATACTACTGTTCTTAATTATAATCTTGTTTCTGCTATGATATTTTCCTCTTAGCTTTCTATCCATAAAAAAAAGGTCATTACAATTTGCCAGTGGATGTAGTAATTTGTTATGTGGATCCATATATAGACCACTCTTGAATATTGTTTTTGGTGCTTGCATTTTACACGCAGTTATCCTGGTTTCCCTTCTTCTTATTTGACACGGATTGGATGGGAAGGGAAGTGTACCATGGGGACCCAAAAGGCAGTTTGACTGACAAACAGGTTTATGATCAGGGTGTCAGAGAAGGTGCATTTGGTTTGCTCTTGAATTCTGTAAGAACTCAGATATGAATACATTAGTAGATCGAATTTTTTCATATATTTGGTGGTATTCTAGTTTGAGTCAAGTATGAGTTATGTTTATTACATTTGGATGTTTGTTATGGTGTTTATTTGCTTACAAAGTGTATCAGATCTTAATCATTTGTTTGTTTGTTTTTATTTTGCTATAGGTTGTTCTTGGTATCAGTTCTTTCTTTATAGAGCCAATGTGTCAGCGAATGGGAGCAAGACTTGTCTGGGCAATGAGCAACTTTATGGTGTTTGCATGCATGACGGCAACTACTATTATCAGTTTAATATCCGTCAGTCAGTACTCTGAAGGAGTCGAGCACGTTATCGGGGGAAATTCATCAATAAAAAATGCTGCCTTGGCTGTTTTTACTCTTCTTGGTTTTCCTCTCGCTGTAAATATCAACGTATCTCTTTTTAATTTCTATTTACGTCACACACCCTTGTAGTTAAAGGTTTCATCATTGTTTCTGTTGCAGATAACATATAGTGTTCCCTTCTCTTTGACAGCAGAATTGACGGCTGATTCTGGTGGTGGGCAAGGTTCGGATGGTGTTCATCTAGTATTGTTTTTCCTGGTGTTTACAGATTAACTGGATTCTGATACTTCAGAGACTGATTTTTTACAGGATTGGCTATAGGTGTTCTCAATCTTGCAGTTGTTATTCCCCAGGTATTATTGACAACGAACATATTATAGCTATTATAGAAAAAACAAAACTACTAGGAAGATGGTTAAACGTCTTAGGAACCATCTGTAACAGCCTAAGCCTATTGTTAGCAGATATTGTCCTCTCTGAGCTTTTCCTTTTAGGCTTCCCCTCAAGGTTTTTTAAAACGCGTTTGATAGGGAGAGATTTCCACACCCTTATATAAGGGTGTTTCGTTTTCCTCTCCAGGTATTGACAACGAACATATTATAGCTATTATAGAAAAAAACAAAACTACTATGAAGATGTTTAAACGTCATAGGGATGCCTAAGCCTATTACTAGCAGATATTGTCCGCTTTGAGCTTTTCATTTTCCTTTTAGGCTTCCCTTCAAGGTTTTTTAAAACGCGTTTGATAGGGAGAGGTTTCCACACCCTTATATAAAGGTGTTTCGTTTTCCTCTCCAGGTATTGACAACGAACATATTATAGCTATTATAGAAAAAACAAAACTACTATGAAGGTCATAGAACCATCGGTAACAGCTCAAGCTCACTACTACCACATATTGTTCTCTTTGGGATTTTCCTTTCGGGTTTCTCCTTAAGGTTTTTTAAAACACGTATGCCTTATAAAGGGTGTTTCGTTTTTCTCCCCAATCGATATCGGATCTCACACCATCTTTTCTATTTGTTCAAGTACGTGAAATAACATTTTAGATAGTATTAAATTACTTTTTCCTTTTTTCAACAATTCTGGGTTGTTTATAATTGATTTGTTCAGATGATTGTATCCCTGGGAGCTGGGCCATGGGATGCATTATTCAGTGGAGGAAACATTCCTGCATTTGCTTTGGCGTCTATATGTGCGCTCGCGGCTGGAATTGTTGCAGTTCTTAGATTGCCTAATCAAACCAACAGTTCTTTCAAATCCACAGGTTTTCATTTTGGTTAGAAACACTGCATCCATCATAGTTTTGAAACCAACTAGAAGAATATGCATATGATCTCTGGCAGTGAACCAAATAATTCCTGGAGTAGCTCTTAGAAGCCTGGAGGATCTCTTAGTACCGTATACCTTCATTTAAACTATATGCATTCAGTATTCATATTCATTGATTTTTTATTCCCAGATCTGTGGGTATCTATACCATAGGTAGTGTAAATTTTCGGTTCCTAAGACGAATAATGAAAATGTTTCAGTTCCATGTTTATGGTACTTGTCCGTCCTCCTTGTAGAAATAGGATAAACATGATTTGTTATAGAGTGTTGTATAATCATATACTTTATAAGCATTCCTTGGTGTTTTGATGTTATTGCATTGTGGCACCAAGGTTGACTGTGGATGCTCGCTTGAAAGTATGTACCATGAAAGTTTGATAAATTTGCAGAGAGGGAAAAGTATAGAAGAATATGAATATTTAACCAATATTTGTCTATTGTTTGTCGAAGCTATGGATGAAATCAGGTAATGCAAATAATGAGAGCATAATTGAATAGAGCTTCAAAAATGATTATCCTGTCCCATTCAACTGTTCTAGGTGACAGTTACGTTTCTGGGTTTGTAATGTGGAAAGACGTTGCCGGAATTTTGGTGTTTTCAAGGGACGCACGAAACCGCATCTCATCTCTGTCATCTGAAATTAACAGAGCATAGAGAGAAAAAGGGGAAGACGAAAGGTCGGTGTCTTTTGTTTCCCGATGAACACGACGCCGGTGTGATCCAATTTTTTGAAAGCATAAGATATCAAGGGATCTATGTGTATATGTAGTGACAAAGCCTTGTAAAGACGGAGGACGACGGAAAGCATCGTCGGAAGAGAATTCGCAGGCGAGTCGGGTGAAGAAGACAACCGTGTTGGGTCGGATCCGGGTCGGACACCCACTCAAGTAGCCATCTACACACATTTGTCCAACCTCACCTACAGCAGCCCAGTAGCCACTTGCCCCTGCAGCACTGCAACCCGCACCGACCCAAAGTTCACGCCTTGACCCAGTTCACGACTCATGCACGCGTCTGCGACTCCTTCGACTCATTTCCTAGGTTTTCGACCATCGTGAAGCTATTATTTGACAAGGAAATTAGGTAATTAGGTAAATTGTTGATAGGGTCAATCATACTTGGAACAAGGACAAACTCAAGAAGCTAATTTTAGGGAGAAACCCTGCCCAATCAAGTAAGTAGTGTTCATGATTATATTTCATGTTGACACATGCTCCGTAGTTCTCATGTGTCATATTTGATATGTGTGATATGTTTATAAAAAGATATGACTATGGTATATATATAAAACGATATAACAATGATATATTTATAAAAAGATATGACTATGATATATATATATGAAATGATTGAAAGGATAAGTCCATAATATGTCCATGATACAATGTAACTATGAGATGATATGTGAATGTTATGACACATGTTATAATGTGATGTACTAATGATATGATAATGTTATGTTGTAATACGTGTGGTGATATAATATATGATGTTACATTATATGTTGATGATATGAGATATGCATGATATGACACGATATTACACAATGCATGATATGACACGATGCACGATATGATTGATATAAGATAAGATGTGTCGATATGATGCACAACCCCGATTTATGCATGGAAACCTATGATGAAAATGATATGATATGAAGGAAAATGGGAGGGATTGTCTTACATGATAATGAATAAAAGGGTTGGGATCTCATGCATCATTGTGTGTTCATACATCAGGGAAAATACCCCTATTTCATGATGGAACAGACACGTACATTACGAGGCAGGAAAACAATCATTAGCTCCTAAAGAATGTCCGGCATCAACAACTCTTAGAGAGTGCTCGCCCAACTATGAAAGGGGCCTAGGAGGTGTGCGAACTCACACTGATGGGTCCACATTCACACATATGGACCATGTGTAGAACAATAAATACACATTCAATTAACCCATTTAGGATAACCGCCCAAGGAAATATAGACTAATATGATAGGTCCCACTCAGTATTGTATTTGTTTGCATTTAACCCAAATAGTGGAGTCAAATACTAAGTATTTCTTAAAATATTTAAGTCACGTGGTACTTCTCTATTTCAAGTAAAGGCAAGACATCTCTGTACGGCTGACGACAACATCGCAATTCGATACCATGACCCATGCATAGGGTAATTGTATTTATTTCTTTGGACTCAGGTTAGATTAGGGTTTTACTTATAATGTATATTTATTTCATTTAGCATTTCATTATGTTGTTTTAAAGATATTTTCAAACACGTAAGTCCATGACAGTGTTTTATGATGATGTTTTCAATGCTTATTTCTACACAAAAATGATTATGTTAATGACGACAACAATAACTCTAGGTAAGTAGAAATCTAGAGTCGTTACAATTTTGATTATAAAAGAGACATCAATCTTGTACCTCTCCTACATTCCAATTCTTTTTTAACTTAAACAACCTGTAGAAGCAAACTTTTGAATCTCCCAAAGAGCCACCGTACAGTTAAAGAATAGTCATTATCATTACGAGAATCATTTGTAATTTAAACCCCAATTTATCGAGCCTCTTAAAATTAGAATTCAACATTATATGAAGATGAGTTTCGAATCTTCGACATTTTTATAGTGAATTATATTATATATATTAACTAATTGAGTAATGCACACGATCCAAACATGAAACATAGAAGGTATAGAAGGTAGCTAAAAGAATAACAGATGATTTGGTGGCTTCTATTTCTACACAGAAATAACCACAGCAATATAAGGTAAACACTAAATCCAGCTACAATCTCAATTGAAACCACAATCCTCATTGCCGGACAGAAATCCATCCAATTTATATACAGAAGAACAAAGCTTTTTGGCTACTGCCACTGTTCAAATACAAATTATTTATCAATTTCACCCATAGGAAACCATAGATGCATTCAATCTGGAATGAAGAAATCAAACCTCACATCAACAGAACCAGTCGTCTCTCCGTTATCTTTGTACTCGATGTTCGTTATCGTTGCACTCTCGTCTGCTTCTTGATATTCTGCTTTCACCCTTCTCACAGGTACCGTGACAGAGTAAATGGTTCCAAGATCAGAATCCGTTGACATGCTCAACTCAACTTTATCCTTCGATTCAATTTCTACGAAATCTGATAGCGCTTGCACTATGTTACTAACGATCTTTCGTTTAGCCTCATCGCTAACTGCACATCGGTCAGCAAAGAGGATCATCTTTAGTCGCTGTTTGGCGATCAGGGCGTTCGAATTTCTCTTCGATGTTGGGGTAGGAAATAAAATTCTCCAAGCTAAGTTCAACCGCTCAAAGAAGTTCATGTTTATGGCATTCAGAAGGAAGGTTTCGGCTTCTTGGCTTGATGTTTTCGACGACATTTCATAACTTTCTGAGCTCCGAGTAGTTATCTGTGAAATGCCACGCCTATTACGACTATCGATTGCCATGTTATGCCATTTCAGAGCAACATCATGACTGATAAGCCCTCCACTTGAAAAGCCAGAGAATTCAACCTAGGATGAAGCACAAATGCTACAATAAGCAACAAAGCATATCCAGTTGTTTCCAAATCAAAATTCAGAATAGCTTCAAACGAATTAGTCGGTTCAATTACAGAATAAGAATCATTCTGAAATGTATGATCTGTGAAGGTGAGCTCTTGGAGTTTTCCTTAGACTAGAATCTCTATGATTTTCCTTTCGATGTGGTATAAACCTAACAAAGATTTACATTTGAACAATGATAGAAGATGGAAATAGAAATGAACTTCTCTCCCAACTGTTTAAGGTACATCACATTCTTCACTATACCCTAAATCTAGATTTACATGGTGGGTCTCACAACATTGATTTTAATAAGATCACGAGGAATATATTCAATAAAGATTGCACAAAACAACAGCCTATGGGCCAGGCAGAGAGAATTCCTGTCAAAAGATCTAAAGAAGTTCCAACCAAACGCCGCCACAAGCGATTGTCGTACATAATGAAGGGAAAAAAAAGATGCTAGAATTCACGTAAAACCCTAGAAATCTGGAACACAATTCAGGAATCCGATAAATAATAATAGTAATACAAAAAGAACGAAGTGCAGAGCTAGGGTTGACAGCGCCTCCATTTCATAAACGCTCCATTGGAGAAACAGGCAAGAAAAAATTCACACAAAGAATCAAAGAATTCATATCTTTGAGCCACCAGATTCCACATTCAGAGAAAATTTCCGACGCTTCGTTAAACAATGAAGCAAACGAAGTAAGAGAGATCGAAAGAGAAGAGAAAATGGACCTTTGAAGAGGGAAAAGAAGTCCGATGAGGGTGAGGATGGTGAGAGCAGAGTGTCGCGGAGACTCTGAGATCTCCAGAAACCGCCATTTGCGTATGGGCTGTCGATTGTGTGTGTTCGTTTCCCTTCAGATGAGCGCCGTTGTCGCTGGTGTGCACAGAAGCCACCCACTCTCGGCTTTCAGTGAGCACTGGCATTGATTTTAACGTATCAAAACGCTGTCGTTTTGGGTTTATATTTTAGTATTATTTATTTATGCTCTTTTATTTTATTTTATTTTATTTTTTATATAAAAGATAATTGAGCTTTTATTTAAAATGAATGAGATAATTTCGTATTTTATATTATAATATTATGTGACGTAATGCATCATTACTACCTGTTCTTTCATCCCCCACTATACAGGGACAAACATGTTTTTCATTGCACGTGTTCTTTTCACATGAGGATCGAACTCAAAATATAAACTTTGTCGTCGTAAAATGAAGTTGAGTCGTGGCTGCTTCACTACCCAAAATTGTCGCCCTTTTTCACATTGTGGCTAGGTTAAGCTCACGTTGTCATCGTCGACTCGCTTGATAGAGAAAGGGAGGTCCGTGCATTGCACTTCACTATTAATACTCACGAAACCGTAATGTTCTTGCCACACGCGTCACCATGTAGCTTCGATAATTTTCAAAATGGTTTAATGAAACATGAGGAAGGAATCTTTTCCAAAATAAAATTATGCACCTTATAAAATGTTAAAACCATTTATGAAACGATGTATAACATAAAGAGGAAAAAATCAAAGGCATGACTCGATTCTACTACTCCTTTATAGTTTTGTAATTTTGGAGCGGTAATGACTCATTTTTTCATATTTTGGAACGGTACAAAATTAATCTAAACGAGTCAAATACAAAAATGTTTACAAAAGATAATATTGTTGAAAATGAATGTTTCTTTCACAAACTGAAAGCTTGGAATCGACCTTAATTTTAATTAGTATTAAATAAGACTAAATGTGATAAGAATTACTTTGTTCTAAATATTCCAACTTTATATATTACATGATCCAAGACCAAGAATATTCAACAAACATTCATTTTTCATCTATAAAAATGGATAGGCTCGGTTCAACCATCATTTCATGTGCTACAAGCTGATTCAATTGAGGAATGACCATTTGGAGCTTCAAAAGTGAATATTTGCAAAGTGCGGATGAAGTTGCAAATATCATTTTATGAATTGTTAGAAAACTTTATTTATTTTTTATTTCGTAAAGTTTGCAAGGGTGAAATTGACTTGGAGATTTAAGAAGATCAGAATAAATTCCGGCCACAAGCAATCCTTGTGGTAGATTGCATCCGAGTCATTCAATCAAGCCTTAATCAAGTTTGATTGTGAAATGACTCAATTTAGAACAAGGTTTCAAATGCTTCTAGATCTTTGATATTGTAAGGTTTCAAATGCTTCTAGACATCGATTATACAAGATCAACTTCAAGGAAGATGTGAAAAAAATGTTGTTTAAATTATCACAAGATGTTGGATTCATGCCACGTGAAAAAGGAATAAGTTTCATTTATTATGAGAGGGTTAAAAAGGATAATTATTAAGACTTTTATTTACTTTAAGGTTACAATTAATTGTAATTAATTATGGTTATAAAATATGAATGTTACCATTCTTAAATTATCTATATAAAGTGATGTATGTTATTTTTGTAAATGAGACTTATAAAATGTAATAAAAAGAGCGTTTGTGTTTTCTTTGAGTAGTTTCTTTGCAATTTCAAGTAGTTTATGTGACATGTTTAGAATTATTGAAATTTGACTGATCGATCTTACTTGGGGAGTGATTCGAATCTCAAATAAGTGTTCTTGTCCTAAGATATTCGATCAACAAGGTAATTTGAATCTTACTTTCATTGTAGCGATTCCTTATCACTACCCGATCCAATTTTGTACATATCAATATTTCCACTACTTTAGTTATCAAAGAACTCTTCAAAGAATCAAGAATCCTCTCATCCGTAATAAATGTTGATTCAGGAGCTATCGTCGACACTGGAACGACCAAAACTTCTTGAATTTTTTTTATAAAATTTTGTATTTAAAATCATTTACTTTCCCCAAGTCAATACATCAAAATTATCATAAGTTTCTCACTAGGGTCAAATAAATATTGATCCCTATCATGGTTTAATTCTAATGAATTTTGCTTTTCTCTTCTTCGTTTCTATCATGATAATACTAATATTGAACCACTCAAATTCATTTCATCAAATGTATCCATACTCGTGGAATTAGAAGTGGTTCTTGACTCAGATTGATGATCACTTTGAATATGATCATGAAACATGTAAAAAGTAAACAAATAAATCAAATATTCTTGATGCTCTTGATAAATATTTGAAAAGCAAAATGATATGTAATCCAATTTGTAACAAGAATCGAATACCACACCTAAGTTTATATTTGTGCTCCACTCAATTAAAAGTTCTTGAATACCTCAAAGTTCATGAAAATAAGAATTAGAAGTCACATACAATGAATCATTCATTTTTGTAGTAACATCGCAGAGGACCTTCAAAAATTTTACAAACACCGCAATGTTTTTCCAATTATTAATTGTTGGTGACCGTGTTCTTTTGTTTCAATGATTCCCTTATTTGAAGTACTCAACTTAATCTAATTCTTCGGTTTCTAAAATTTTAAAAAAATTTACAAATTTTGAGGCAGGATCAAGTACTAAATAAGTGGAATTTTACTAGTTGCCACATCCAAACAAACAAGTTCTTTACGTTCCATGTTTTCTTGTTTTACAAAATCTTTAAATTTTGTCAATCGGTTCGGGATGATCTAACATGTCTCACCACATTGCGAACACTAGAATGAGTCACGCATTTCTTTAAGTCTCTCATTCACCATCAAATTAATTACGTGGGCACAACACCTCATATATAATACTTCATCTAAGACAAGTAAATTTTACTTTTATGACTTTTCATTATATACGAAATAGGCATACTATTGGAACTTACATGATCAACTGTGATAGAGAAAACTTTATCGATCCCCCATTTCGTTAAATAACTCTCAATAATCTTATCAATAGTCTCTCGTTTGTAGTTGGCAACTTGACCAAAGTTGAGAATTATGCGAATTTCATTAGGAATCAATAAAGTGTGCAGTAACTACTATGTAGTTAATGTTTTTCTTTTATTTTATTAAAGATATTAATTTATTAATTTGGTTATAATTAGTTGATTTTGAATTAGGGATTAAAGTAGGTAAAAATTGATTAAAAGATCACATAAAACTAACTAAGAAACAACATAGAAGAATATTATGATACTAACTCAGAAACAACACACAGGAGAGAGGGAAGATTATGAATATAATTAAAAGTTTGTGAAACACAGATAGAGAAGGAAGATGGTAAATATAATTGAAATTATTCTAAAATGTTAAAGGTATTAAACACTGAGAAAATAGAATATTTGAAAAATGTTAATAGGTATTAAATAGTTTGTATGAAAATAATACTATAACAAACATATATAAATATTTCAAGATTTAACTCATGCAAAGACTCTAACGTTCGCATAAAGTATAACACATGAATCAATATAAATTAGAGAAACAATTTTGTAGAGGTTCAAATTTGAAATTGATGTCATGGGCTCACATAGGTTGACTTGGATTTCAATGGACTTTCATTAAGGATAACGTCAGGACATCAGCCTGAGCTAATTAGGTAAGTGGCCTTACTATCGGCAGGTTATATTTGATGTTGACACATGCCCCGTGGTTCTGCATGTGTCATATATATTGATATGTGTGAATTGTCTGTGGATCGATATGCTTCTTATATGTTATGCATATGTTATAATATGTGAATTATATGATAATAATTACGGTACGATGTGTAAGATACGTTCATGAAACGTTAAGGTTAGGTTACATACCCAAGTGCTATGGATAGGAGAGATTGATGAAAGAATACGGTTAGGTTATGGGTAGAAAGAGATAGGATGTGATAGATTGATAGAACGATAGCGTTAGGATACGTTCCTGTGATGATATGACTAAGGTACGTTCACGTAATGATATGACGTGATAGGTATAAGAACGTTAAGACTATAAATTAGGGAACAATATGACCACGAAGTGTTTACAATATGACACGTTTTCTAAATTGTTCTATGATACGATATATTGTGATGTGATACGTTATGATAAGATTGTTTTGTGTGACCATTGAGGTAATTGTTGTATGAATTGCACGTTATGAAATGACATGTTAAAAGCATGAAGCGTTATGTTATGTTTTCTAAATTGTATGTATACAACATGTTATGAATGACATGATATCATGATAAATGAAATGAAACATAACCCCATTAGAATTATGATGAGATGAGAACTGAAAAATGAGAAAAGATATGATAGGAATGTAAAATGATAGTGGAGTTATATTTAATAATGTCGAAAATGGAAAAATATTGGGACCTCATGAATTATGTGTGCTCATGCATTGAGTGATACCCCTATTTCATCACAATGGGCAGGGGTACGATCATTATGTTTTACATAATGTTGTCTGCAGGGGTACAATCATTTTGTTTTACATTATGCTGTTGTGGTGGTTACTAATTCTAACGGGTGTTTGGCCTAAGGAGCTCCCTGAGTATGCTCGACCGACAACTAAAGTGGTCCAGCGGTGTGCAAACTAATTGGTGAGTCCCATACTTGCACGTGTGGGTTGTGTGTAGAGTATATGGTACACATCCAAGTTACTCATTAGGACAGTATCGTAGAAAAATAGATTGAAAGGATAGGTCTATCATTACATTCGCTGGTTCTTGCATTTAATCCAATCGTGGGTCACTTCCTAAGTATTTTTTTAAATACTCAAGCAAGTGATTTTTTAGGTTAGTGCAAGTGTACATGCGGGTAGTAGTATTTAGTTTTTTAGACTTATGCTAGAATAGGATGTTTTTAATTAAATGTTTATTTACTTTATTTAGCCTTTTGTTGGGCCGGTGTTTTCAAAATAGGTAAGTTCATGGCTGTGTTTTAAGACAAAGGTTACGTTTTATGAAATTTAAAGGAAGTATTTTAGCATTCGATATTCATGATATGTATACAGTAGCGACCTTAAATTAAGTAGAAAATTTCGGGTCATTACACTATCTCAT